GATGGCAACTGTATTGTTACAGTACTTGGATATTTAGTCTAGATTACTGCAATATGTTTGGGGTTATGCATGAAGGCCATCCAGAAATTGCAGCTGGTTCAGGTGGCTAGTTGCCCATTTGCTCAGTGAAGCATGTAGTGCAGCACATTTTTTCATTGCTTCCCATTTGTTTATAAATACAGTGCTATGAGACTTGGCTCCCTGGAAGAATGCCTCTCTCCTCTTGCAATAGCTAAGAGGCTTGAGCTGATATGATTTGAATGTGGGGAGATCTGGCAGGGAGCTTTCTTATTAAGGGGCCCCAAATCTTGAACTCATTTCTCCTTTGATTTAGCAGGTTCCAACTTATTAGCAACTGTAATATGTCCTAATAGTCATCCCTAGAGCCAGCCTTTTGGGAAGAGAATGGATGGAGTACAACTAAGGGGAATCCCTCTTCTATATAAATACCTGGGAAAGTAGAAGTTCATGATTCAGACGTAAGCAGACAAGGTTCCTTGGGTGAATCTGATATCTTTTATTAGACCAACCCAAATAGTTGGAGAATAGTTATTAAGCAAGCTTTCGGGTTCAAAAACCCTTCGTCAGGCTAAGGAAGCTTCAGCAGTTGGTGTGTGCTCTTCCCAGATGGAATGAAAAGTAAAGAAGCCAGGGGCTGGGCTGGGCTGGGCTGGGGAGTCAGTTGTCAGGCAGATTATAATGTGTCATAAATCCAATGTCTATATTTAGTCCATGATTTTTAGTATCCAGGAGGTTGATGAAGTGGAGTTCATAGGCTCGTCTCTGGGAAGTGTTGTGTAAGTTTCCTTTGAGGATCAGGACTGAGAGATTGGAGAGAGAGTGGTTTTCTTGTGAGAAATGTGCCCTCACCAGTAATTGGGTGTTTCTGTCTTTGATAGATTTCCAGTGTGCATTCATTCTGGTGTGCAGTTGTTGTTTGGTCTCTCCTACATATTTTCCATCAGGGCATTTGGTGCATTGGATGAGGTATATTACATTTCTGGAGGTGCAGCTGTAAGATCCAGGAATGCTGATGGCTCTGTTGTGGGGTGTAGTAATAGTGGGGGTGGTGGAGATGTGTTGGCAGGTTTTGCATTTCTTGTCATGGCACAGTCTGGATCCATTCGATGTGTTCTGGGCTTGAGGAAGTTTGCTTCTGGTGATGAGGTTAGCGAGGTTTGGTGCTTGTCTGAAGGCTAGGATGTGTGGCTCTGGGAAGATCTTTTTAAGAATAGGGTCTCTTTCTAGTATGGGTTGCAATTGTTTGAGGATTGGAGGAGTGTCCTTGCTGGGTGAAAGCCTTTTTAAGATTGGTGAGGTGGCGATCCCGGGTGTTCTCTTCAGTACAGATGCGGTGGTATCTGAGGGCTTGGCTGTATATCACAGCTTTTTTGGTGTGTTTCGGGTGATTGCTGGTTCTGTGCAGATATGTATGTTGGTCTGTGGGTTTCCTGTATAACGTGGTCTGTATTTTATCATTCTGGATACTGATCATCATGTCGAAAAAGGAGATGCTGGTGCTGGAGTATTCTAGAGAAAGTTGGATGGAGGGATGGTGATTGTTGAATTTCTGATGGAACTCAGAGATTGTAGGTTTTCAGTCCAAATGATGAAGATGTCATCAATGTATCTTGAGTATAGCAAGGGTTTGATGGTGCAGTTCTTGAGGAAGTCTTCTTCCAGGTGGCTCATAAAAAGGTTGGCATACTGTGGGGCCATTTTAGTGCCCATAGCTGTTCCCATCATCTGGAGGAAGTGTTGATTATTAAAAGTGAAATTGTTGTGTGTGAGGATGAAGTGTATAAGCTCAGTGATATCTTTGGGTCTGTATTCTGGGTTGTAATCTTGTTTCTGTAGATATGTAAGGCAGGCATGGATTCCATCCTGGTGTGGGATGTCGGTGTATAGGCTGGTGACGTCCATGGTGGCTAGGAGTGTGTTGCTGGGAAGGTGGTCTATGTTTTTAAGTTTCTGTAGAAAGTCTGATGCAGATGTATACATTGTACCACAAAATACATATTCAGAGCACTGGATGGGTAGACTTCCTGTTGAAGTCAAAATAAATCCTTTGGTCAATGGTACATTAGCAGTGTTAATTAAAAAAATTAAAATAACAAGTAATAATAGATGTTTAAGTGCTATTTGAAATGCACATAACATACTCCCTCAGCTACTAGAGAAAACATTGCCAGAGCTAGATGTTGAACTCTGGAATATTTCCTTGCTTCACTGTTCAGATTTATGAAATATGAGATTTGTTCTAATGCAAACAAATCACTAAGACCAATCAAGCTTCAATTTCTCAAGGACAGGGATCATTGTATTTATGTAAAATCAAATTTTTAGACATTAAGGCTGCTCTAAAAATCCATTTTTTTTGCATGACGCTGGTTGATCAGGCATTTCTGTCAAATCCCCAGAATAAAAGTCTTCTGGTAAATGAGATGTTGCAATTTGTATTAAGAAAATCATGGAAATGAGCTATTTCATAGAGATTTTTAGTATGGGACATGCTTCATATACACATGCACGCATATCAAGAAACAAATTCTGACTGCATTATCAGGGTTTACCAAATTCTGACAATCCATGCTGTTGGCTAATATATTGCAAGGTAAAGGATATTCCTCTTGGATGAGTGAGTCTGTTTTTAAGCTCTATGTAATTAAATAGGTAGGGAAAAATATTTCCGATACTTCTGTTCCATATTTTATATAAAGTAGATCAAGTTTTAGAAAACCCTCTCACCCTCTTACTAATGCAGAATAGTAAGCTTTTTTTTCTTGAAAATATGGGAGTTTAAGCTGTCAATTTTGGCAGCATTCAACCTTTCTTTAAAGAAACAAAAACAAAGAAAAAGCGGGGAAAAACTTTCTGGATGTAAATGTACTCTTCCATCAGCAAACCAAGCATACTCAGTGCTGGTTCTTAAAGAACCCTGCAGACTGACAGCTCAAATGTGTAGCCTGCTGTTACAGCTCTGCAAACAGCAACCCAATGAAATTAACAAGTCTCCCACTTTTCAGAACCATTTAGGAAGCGGCAAAGCTTGTAAGTCAGTTTCATACTGCTTCTAGTTCTTAGCCTTAGATTTGACTCATAGGTCTGCTACTGGCAAGGACATTTTAATTTATATTTGTGCCAGTGTAGAACCAAATATATTAGAGCAAGTGAGAATTGGGAATACAACAATCAAAGAAAATGAAAAATGAAAAACCAGAAATGCGGCACAGTCATCTACAACCAAACAAGCAGAATGCAAAGAAATGCCTTTAGATGCTCACAGTTGAATTTAAATGCCATTGGGAAAATAAATCCACACCTGGAAAAGTAGGACAACTGCTGTTCCTTTCCAGACCTCTAGGCTTCAGGCCTGAATAGCCTGTAAACAGTCCCTTGCTTGCTGTGCGTTAGAAAAGGTCAGGTCCCAGAAATACTGTTACAGGAAGAGGCAGCAATTTTGGGATGCAGTCTGGGTGATGGGGGAAGAATATGGAAGTTTGTTTTTGTATTTATCTACTTCTGTTTTATAGATTTAGATCTCTATCAAGGAAAGTTTGGTAAATGATTTAAAGCTGTACTAGGGAAGATCACTGCATCTTGGCCTTTGGCAAAATAGTTATGTATCCTAGCTACTGAATCTTTTTTTTTTTCCTGACAGAACATTTAAGTGAAAAGACAATAAATGGGAGTGCTGTATTTTTTCAATATTTGAGGCTGGGTTTGGAAAATGAATAATGTACTTATTAATAAAATCCTTTAAGAGGTTTTCTTTTTTCTTAAGAGAACGTAAAATGTTTTGGAGCATTTTTGATTAGATACAACTTTCTTGGTGGAAACCATATACTTCAGATACCCAGGTCTTCCTGCTGGTATTGCTCGTATTGTAGAGCAGAAAAGATACAGCAGGGCATTCATTTTGAATTTTTGTTTGCCGACATTTATACCCTGTTTGCCATGATCTGAGTGATGTTTGAAATGTTTTACTGGAAATGTAGTGAGGGCACCGAGCTGTTTATCAAGGCATTGTCTAGTGCAGCGGTTCCCAAAGTCTGACAGATTGCACACCACCAATTTAAAATGATACAACCTTAAATACCACCCGCAAATTTTTGTCATATACAGTAATTATAATAGATCTGTTAACCCGTACCACTGACAGGTTGCCTGCGTACCACTGGTGGTACCTGTACCCAAAGCAAACCCTAGTGGGTTTTGGGGTCCAGGGCAAATCAGCCTGTGCGGGGCCCCCTTAACACCAGGCAGGGCCTGTGGGACCCCCCTCAAAAGCAGGGCATGGTCTGGGGTCTCCCCTGCACCCAAGGAGGGGGAGTCTCCGTGCTTCTCCCGCGAAACAGGGGGAGCCACCAGCACCAGGCCCTGCGGCCGCTCCGCCCAGCTCCACGGGCCCAGGGCAGTCGCCCCGATTCGCCGTGCCCTGGGGACGGCCCTGCCCGTACCACAGATGAGGAACCGCTGGCGTAGCGGTCAAAGCAGAGCTTGGGAGGCAAGAGACTCCAGTAATAATCTTGCTCTGCTGGCAATTGTAGCCGGGCCTTACGCTAGTAAAATCAAGAGGCTTCCTGTCTTCAGTGGGAGCAAGATCAGGCCTGGTGTCACTTCCAGCAAGCGGCTCCACCTGCCTGGGCCTCAGCTTTCCCGTCTGTAAAATGGGAGCCGGCGGGCGCAGAAGCAACCCGACAAACACCGCTCTGCACCGGTCCCTCCGCCTTTCCCCCCGTCCTGGGGAGATGAACAGATCATCGCCCCAAGGGCCCAAGTCAATCTCTCTCAAACGCGGCGGCTTGGACGTGTCCCGCGGGCCCGCTGCTGGGGCCAGCAACCTCCCC